GCACCCGCATGCGGTAGGTCCTCAGGAAGTATATGAACATCGGGCTGCGTATACACAGAAATCTGGGCTCTCTGCAGACTCTCCGCTTCCCAGAGGGAAGGGTCTGGATATGGATGCTGATCCACTGTTCTCGCTGTAGCACACAGGAGCCACTAGGCGAACACTACTCAGCCACAGTGGAAGCACGTGGATAGACCGCAAGCTAGATACACTGAGATCAACACTGAACTTCCATGCAGAGCAAGGTCAATTATATGGTATGATTGGAGGAAACTATGAAAAGAATCCCAAGCTAGAAACCTCTCTCATAAACCCATCACAATATCTAAAATGTCTGCCATTAAGAGCTCAGTGACCTCAGCTGCATCCAAGGATGCAACTCAGAGCTAGAGTGTATCTCAGGAGGGCGGCAGGTGTGGTTCTGCGTCGTCAGTCAAGGCTGGCGCCACAAGGGGCAGGCAGAGCCCTGGAGCCCACAGGTAGAGGGGAAACGGACTAGCCAGTCCTGCGCACCGCTGCTGTACGAGCCACCAGGGAGTCCAGTGCACAGAGTCTATGGGGAGGACAAGGTCAAGTCCAGAAGACTGAAGCAAGTGTCAGCTTAGGGACAGCCATTCCAACAGGCTCAAGAGTTGAGACATTCAATGCTGATGCTGGAGACACTGAGCTGTGTTCCCAGAGCTCTGTTCTTCGCTGTCGCGTGGCTAAGAAGATATAAAGCAAGAATCAAACCAACGGAGGAGAGAAAAACAAAAACACTTCCAAGCTTAAAGGAAGACTGGGGTAAAAGGCAGAGTTACCAGGCAGAGAATCATGGCAGACACCCAGACCCACAGCCAGGGCCAACACAGTGGAACAGGGGGTCCTGTGGCCCAGGAGTCACTCCCACCATGATTTACGCTGAGTCCCACCAGACGGGGAGGCTGGGCTGCCATCAACCTCCTTTCCAGATCCAGATTAGCTCAGGCACTGGAGGGAGTTGTCAGCGTGGACAGGCCCCATGAGCAGTGAGAAGCCAGGCAGGCAGGCACAGGCTGCCTTCACCCAGATACAGCACTGTCTCTATCTCCTAAATGACCCGACAGGAGCCCACAGAGGATTTCCAACTGATCTAATGTCTAGTATGTGACCTTAGCCAGAGAGACAAACCATGAAGCGTTCTTTCCACGGTGCCAAGGTGGATTAAGTCATTTTATCACCAGAATTCCTCTTTTAAAAGGTAAGAGTCGTCACAGGGTGAGAAAAACACAAAACCAATGATCCATTAACAACTTTAACAACTTAGACCTTTTTTTTTTCCTAACAGAGATTGGGAGACCAGTCACCTAGGCAGATTCTGAGAGAATCAAAAGGTTTAGGGTGTTTTTGTATGCTTTGAGATTTGATGGGGGTGGGGTTCAGAAGAGTAGAGAAGAACACGATACATTTCAATACTCTAAAAAAATTACATCCAGCACGTAAGTAAAAAGCAACTAACCAGGATCAATCACCAAAATAAAGCCTCTCAGACAGCTCAAAATTTACAAGTGAAACAACAAAAATTAAAACAACAAACCAATAAAGGAGAAACCAAGCATCTCTGGGAAGACCAATACAAGAAAACTTTAATAAGATAAAATCAGTTCATTCTTAGAGAAGGACCAACCTCTTGGCTAAAAAGAAGGCTATTCCTTCCCATTTGTTCTCAAGGCCTCACAAGAGAAGACTACTGAATCCTTACAAATTAATTAATAAGTATGATCAAAATGAGGAAAAGGTAAGAAGAGTTTAATGTGTACATACATTAAGAGGTTAATGAGTACACACATTCTCCTGTAGTCTAGTTCCTCAAAACTCAAAGATATCTTTACAAAAATTTAAGTGGACTATTTTAAATCGTATTAAAATTCCTCTATTACAACACTGGAGAAGCACCGGGGTCTTAGGCAGTAGGTTCTGGATTTCTTTTTTATAGGGACGTTAAATTGAAGGAATTACAACTCCGATACTCTTCCCAGGATTTACAAAAGAACAAAACCTAGGTTTCCAATTCAGTAAATCCCGATTTAATTTTAGAATTAAAATATTGCCACCAATTAAATTCCTTTAAACATTTAAAAGATATTTTAAGGTCTGAAACAAGAGAAGGTGTTACCTATCAAGTTTCAATGCATCATTTCTTCCATTGCTTCCTTTCCTTTATATATATCTTTACATATATATATATACATACACACACACACACACCCCCCTCTAGAACTTATGGTATACAGGATTTTCAAACACATATGAAGATTTTAAAAGTGATTTTTAGGAAATAGAAAACTATACAGTGAAGAAGTGAATGAAAGATAAACCCCCAATTCAGGGCTTTTCACTGAGTGGGGGTTGGGAATGAGACAAGATTGGGAAGGAGTGCCCAGGGTTCTTAAAGGCAATCGTAATATTATTTTTCTTAAACTGAGTGATGGGGAGATGGGTGTTCGCTGTACCATTATTCTCCATATCTTACTTATATTTTGTAATATTTAAAATAGTCAAAATTTAATAAACACAAGTCTTTTTTAAAAGAGTTTATATGCTTGTCACTGTGGAAGATATTGAAAGACATGTAGAAATCAAATCCTCACAGTGTTACTCAATAAAAAGTAAAACAATTATGACTGTACAAATTTGTTTCAGAGCCAACCTTCTACAGAATTAACAAATCTTGAGAAAAACCTTATTTTTCTAAACTTCTACACAGATATGCTCAAGTTTTTCCCATCATGTACTGCTTCATTCTGTTTGCTTTTTTAAAAAGCTATTTTTCCTTAGCTTCTCTGTAACTTTCATCATTTTGTTTAAAAAAGCATTAATTCTTTCTAACTCTCTGAATGAATCCAAATAAATAAAAATGGGGTTATGGCCGAGCATGGTGGTTCACACCTGTAATCCCAGCACTTTGGGAGGCCGAGGTAGGCAGATCACCTGAGGTCGGGAGTTTGAGACCAGCCAGACCAACACGGAGAAACCCCATCTCTACTAAAAATACAAAATTAGCCAGGCGTGGTGGCGCATGCCTGTAATCCCAGCTACTCGGGACGCTGAGGCAGAAGAATTGCTTAAAGCCAGGAGGAGGAGATTGCAGTCAGCCGAGATTGCACCGTTGCACTGCAGCCTGGGCAACAAGAGTGAAACTCCATTTCAAAAAAAAAATGGTATTATGCCTCTATGAATGACATACAACAGCATGATTTGTATCACCCAAAATGACCATAAAAATAAATTCAGTATTTGGATAGTGAAAGGCTTTCAGTTCACCTGTTTTGTTGTTTCCAACTATATGATGCCAGCAGAAACCTCTTAAGTCAAATATCAGGAAAGCACCAATAATTTTTAACATTTCTCCAACTCTATGTTATCTATTCTGCTTTCTATAAAGTCATAAAAACATCTTAGACACATTTTGTTCAGACATGTGGAGTATTTAATTTTGTAAGGATAATCCAAGCAGTGAATTCCAATGGTCCTCAAAAGCCAGCTATTTCTAATATTTCAAAAAGCCTAAAGATATATTTACCTGTAATGAGCCCAGGCTAGGAATGAAAATACTTTTGCTTTTTCCACTGGGATCTTACCAGGTCTTCCTAAAGTTAGCTGGCTATCTCATGCTGATCAGGTATTCAGACATATGTCAAAATATGAGGTCCATGGAGCAAAAATAGTAAAAGTGGTCTTATTATCAGTATTCATTTTTTTTAAATCAGTATTTAAAAAATAGCAACATGAAGCCTGGGGCCCACTAAACCAGAATAGTTCTATCACTGTTATCACAAACCCCAGAGAACCTTGATTCTCTAACTTTGTTAAAAATTTGCAAGTCAACTTTCAATTACTTTTTTTTTTCAATTTTTAATTTTTCCCAGTTCAGTTCTCTGCCCCTCCATCTTTGTAAAACAGAGTCAAAGGAAGTTAAGAAGAAGCAAGTGTTTCCATATCACATCTTCTTCCTGCTACAAGCCAGGCTAACAGAACCAGAACTGTTTCTCTCTTCTCCAGCTTCCAATTCTCCTTCAAATTAAACTGAGACCCTCCCCAAACTATTGCTCTTTGCAAAATTAAATACTCCGGTGTCTGAACAAAAGCTAAACTGAAAAGGACACTTTAAACGAATAACCTTTAAAAACAAACTAAGTCAGCCTTCAAAATAATCCCCTTTGGCCACATGGGACAGCCCAGGGGACAGGTACAGGGCTTTCCTTCCTAGAGGCTGTCTCCTCCTCCATGAATCTGACCTTTTCCAGCTGGTAGCTCTGGCACCTCACAAATCAGTTGTCAGTAGGCCGAATGCCTGCTTTCCCATCTGCACTTTCCAAATGGTTCCTGATGCCAACGGCTGAGATATGACCTGACTCTCTGATGAGAACATGCTTCCCAAGTGACATGCCAGGTTTCCCTGGAAGCATTTCTAAATGCATTCTCTGAGCTCCCTCCCTCACCTCCCAGTCACGGTTCATTCTTCCTTCCCTGCACTTCCTAATGCCACCTCCTGATCCTATGCCTCTAATGTCATGTCCCTTCAGTCCCAACTCCTTACCCACTTTCATCAACCGTTGACCCTTGTTCTGCCTTACATCCCAACTTCAAATCCAAAGGGCAGAGTTCTGGCTAGGTGTGGTGGCTCACGCCTGTAATCCCAGCACTTTGGGAGGCTGAGGTGGGTGGATCACCTGAGGTAAGGAGTTCGAGACCAGCCTGGCCAACATGGTGAAACCTCATCTCTACTAAAAATACAAAAATTAGCAAGGCGTGGTGGCGCAAGTCTGTATTCCCAGCAACTCGGGAGGCGAAGGCAAGTGAATTGCTTGAACCCAGGAAGCAGGGGTTGCAGTGAGCCAAGATCATGCCATTGCACTCCAGACTGGGTGACAGAGCGAGACTCTGTTTCAAAAACAAACAAACAAATAAACAAACCAAAAAGCAAAGGGCATAATTACAACATTTTGGAGCTGGTTTGAAGTGATCTTTCTGAGGCCTACCTGCAGGCAGGTCGGTCATGGCCTCTTTCCTTGCCTTCTTCAGCTTCTCCCTGACCCAGGGAAACTCCTGTAGGGAATCTAGGAATGTATCGAATGCTTTAGGGCCCCTGGAAGGTAGGATATCCAGCAGGAGCATTGTTTTCCGGAGGCCTGTGGTTTGAGCGTTGATTTCTTGAACATGGTTTTCCGTCAAGATTCCTTCCTGGTAGAGGTACTGAAGAACCAGTCCCTCCACCAATACCTCTGCACCCAGCTCCAGGCGAAGTGAGCGGAGTACTTGCTTGTCTCTGGCCTCCATTTCTCCCTGGAAAGAGCCGAAATCACAGCTCAAATTACAGACATGCTGATGTGGCCCGAAAGACAGTGTCACTGCAATGTAAGTTCCTTCAGGTCAGGCATATCTTCAAACCGTGGCAGAGTGCCAGGTCATGGTATTTAATTCACGAGTTAAGCCAAGCCAAGTTAACTTTGAATGTTTCCTAACATAATGAACAACAATGAAGATGAATCATCTTTTCTGTTCCTGCTTTTCACACAGTGGGGTCCCAGCTCAATTCCTCGTTCAATAAAGAAATGTGGAAAAAGAAAAAAAAAAAAGTGGGTCAGAGACCCTTCCGAAAAAGCAATTTTTATCTGAAGATTACAGAGCAGCATTAATTTTAACATGCTGGAGAAGAAATCGTGGTTTTATTTTAACATTGCCCTCATCAGACCTGCACCACCACCATCACCACCACCACCACGGCAGAAACTGCCAAAGTGGGCGCAGGTGTCCCTTTTTGGATCACAAGTATTTGCAAAACCTGATCAGTAACAGGAGTGCAGGACAGAAAGCAGCAGGAACAGAGTTTAAGGTTCTTTTCGCTAAAAGACCTCTACACCATCACCTTTAAGAAAATTGTTGTTTGTGCCCAGTCTACAATAAACCTTACACAATATATAGTCACAGACTCCATTCCTTCCCACTAAGAATTCCGAATCTCCAGCACACCACTGTCGTGGCCACACATGCATGGGACATTTTATGGGATTTTTTTTCTTTAAAACACCCCAGCGCCGGTCAGTAGCCAGGCACAATTTGAAGGTGCACTTCCACCACCCCTGCACCCGTGTGCTGTGGCTTGGTTGTGTGTAAGGCAGTGAAGGTCAAGTGACCGGGAAGGCAGGTAGGGATGACAGATGCGGCTTCAGATACACCCGGGCAGTACGACCACGGCTGGGCGACACCCGATCCCACATTCCCCCTCGCAACCTTGCAAAGTTTAGGAGCTGACAGGTGAGGAGGGGGAGGTGTTCACATTTGGCTGTGAGCGCCCATTGGGAACTTTTTAAAAAATCTCTGCCACGGCCGCTGAAATCCTTGTATCAAACAGGAAGACTACGGGCGGTTTCTCCCGCAATTTGACCCGCTAAAGAGGGAGTGCTGGGAATGAACTTAAGAGCGGACCAAGGGGAGAGCGGGCCTCCGGCACTACCGCAGCCACCCAGCCTTGGCCCGGATCGGAAATGCAGACCAAGTTAGTGGGGCGGGGAAGCCCCCGCAGGGCCCAGGTCGCAGACGCTACAATGCAGGACTTTCAAGAAAAAATGGATTCCTGTTACTTACGTCTGCAACCACGTATCTTTGGGGCGGGGGAGAAAAACTGCAACCGGAATCCTGACTGTTAGGGAACCTGCCCCATAAGCACCATCTTTGTTAAAGGCGAAAACCCTAAACAGGAAGTGTTGACACCATCTTTGTTGAGGGCAAGCACAGGAAGTGCTGTCGCCATTTTTATTGAGTGTTCAAGGGTCGGATCGAAGCTCTTCCCGCCATGTTTACTGTGGGTAAACAATTCAATCACGGGGAGGTGGACAACAGTACCGTCACTTAGAGGGTATCTAAGTAATGGAGTAATTGAATCATTGCATTTTAACACAGTAACTACACCAGGGCCTTACACACAATTGACATAACAGAGAGGCAGGTCAAAAGTCACCCTGGTAGAGACGCCTTCTCTGACCTGATTAAAACGGCAACACAGCTGCGCTCATCTCCTGCACTCCCCATTCCCTTAACCAGCTTTATTTTTTACGTATCACCATCTTATTAAAACTTTTTACTTATTCATTTGTTTATCCCTCTGCTTCCCTCCATTAAAATGCAAGGTATTTATTTATATCAAGGGTTCCTGTCCGCAAAAAGTTTACAAATCTGTCAGTCAGGATTTCATTGCAGCACTCAGCTAGCTACTCCTAGTCAAAAAGGGATTTGTCCGGGGGAATTCGGGACATTTGAAATGATTGGAAAGACTGGAGAAGGGCTGACCATCCATGAATGACTACAAAGATAAGATTGCCATACTGGCTCCTGCCCACAATCAGGAAGATGGCATCAGGAAGTTGCCATGCCTCGTCCCCAACCTCTTAACACCAACAGAACAATTAACAGGACACTGGAACACTGCTGCAAAAAACCGTGGTCTCCACGGCTGCATTTGCCAGCAGCATGAAAACAGCACCTGCAAATATTGCTCTGCTGCCTGCAATTGGTGAGATCAATTTCAGATGCAGAATATTAGCAGCAAGGATGTCTAGAGCATGTAGTTTATAGCTTTCCAGCTTGAGAAACACAAAAAGGTATAGTAAACGAGGGAAGGGCTGATACTAAAGGCCTATCTACTGCATCCACCACATTTTCAATTTGGAAAGCAAGAAAAAATGCATGACCCAAATAGAAACACAGAAATGCCAAGTTGGGTGTCCTTCCTCACATTCCTTTGTGAAGTGAGGCAGTCGATCAATAAATACATTCATTGATTCATTTTTAAATCAATTGGATGATACATACAGAAAGTCTCATGCTTACTAAAAATTAGTTGACAATACAGGGGGAAAAACTCCTGAAATATTGTTTCTGCAAAGGTTTTCATAGCCAAAACCTTTGGTGGGAAATGAAAATATCTTTGTAAGCAAATCAATGGAGAACAGTTCTGAAACTCTCTCCTCAAAACCTTCTAAAAATTGTATCCACTTTACAGTGTTACTATGCCAGTTACCATTTTACTACACCATTAATGACAGTATTTTTACCTATGTGGCAAGTATTATTATTACAGTCATGCATTGCATAACAATATTTGGGTCAATGACAGACTGCATATATGATAGTGGTCAGAGCAATAGGCTATGCTATATGGCCTAAGTAGTAGGCTATACCATCTAGGTTTGCTTAAGTACACCCTATTTTGTTTGCACAATGACGCATTTCTTACAATGTATCTCCATTGTTATAACTGTATTAGCATTTTGCATGTATAAAGACTATGGAATCAGAATGGTCAATTGTCTTAGCCAAAATCTCACAGCTAATATAGAGCAAAACTTGAATTCTAATGAAGTTTCTCTGATTTCATGCTCTTTCCAATACACCATACAACCCTGTATAGTGAAGAGTTTATTGTTCTAATGATAGCCAAATATTACTTGCAAATCATCCTGTTGCCACCTCCTATCTCTCTCCCTTTTCCCCTTTTTCTCGAGAATCATTGTCCTTTCCTCAGCAAGATTTCCCATCTGTACATAGACAAGTGTTAGCACCATTCTTTGTCTTCATCCAGATAAAGTGCAGACCACTTGCAACACTGCCAAGCATTGAGGTTTATAGGTTGAATATCCCTAATCCAAAAATTTGAAATCCAGAATGCTCCAAAACCTGGCTGGGAGTGGTGGCTCACACCTGTAATCTCAGCATTTTGGGAAGCCAAGGCAGGCAGATCATTTGAGCCCAGGAATTCAGGGCCAACCTGGGCAACATAGTGAGATCCCATCTCTACAAAAAATACAAAAAATTAGCCAGGCATGGTTGTGCACGTCTGTAGTCCCAGTTTCTCAGGAGGCTGAGGTGGAGAATCAATTGAACCCGGGAGGTGGAAGTTGCAGTGAAACAAAATTGTGCCACTGCACTCCGGCCTGGGCAACAGACAGAGACCCTGTCTCAGAAAAAAAAAAGAAAGAAAGAAATGCTCCAAAACCTGAAACTTTTTGAGTGTCAACATGATGCCACAAGTGGAAAATTCTACACCTGACCTTACGTGATGGGTCAGTCAAAACACAAACCTTTGTTTCATATGCAAAATTATTTAAAATATTGTATAAAATTACTTTCAGGCTATGTGTATCAAGTATATATGAAACTTAAGTTTTGTGCTTAAACTTGGGTCCCGTCCCCAAGTTACGTCATTATGTATATGCAAATATTCCAAAATCCAAAAAAATCCAAAATCCAAAACACTTCTGGTCCCAAGAATTTTGGGTAAGGGATAGTTAACCCATGCTAACTTTTTTAGAGAGGAAAAGAAAGTGGATTTTTTCTAACTGTAAACTTTGATAAATTTCAAACATATAGGAAAGTTGAAACAAATAGCGCAATAAACGCCCATATAAAGTTCCATATTTCTTGATGATTCATCATATTTGGAAAGACTTGAGATCTCCTAGGAGCTAGAAGGTGAGCCTTGATGATGATACCCAGGAGGAGGTGGGGAGCCAACAGTAGGATCCATGAGGTTTCACAGAAGAGAAGCAGCAAGAGACAGCAGGAGAATGTCAGGGCCGCAGCCGAGGGGCATGGCGTCCTATGGTAAACAACCTGAGAGAGTGGCCATTAAAGATCTGACTTAAATCTGCAGCATGAAGCCTTTGACCATCAAATTCCTCTTCCCATGGCAAATACAGATGAGTATCCATGCTGTGTCTTAAGCAACTAGGCTGAACGACTAGCCCACTGCCATCAGCCACCCCACCTCAGCATACAGCAATACTTTGTGGCAGCACACCAAACACCCAGCTTTACTTAGGCAGATGAGCTAAGGCCAGAGGGCTTCTAAGGAATGGAACACAGATCAGAATCATTATCACAGGTGGTTACTCCTCCGCTCTGGCCAGTGCCTCTCTGTAGTCTGGAATTGCGTCCCCACGGAGGATTAAGCACCTGTTACCCAGTGGTAACAAATCCATCTTCAGGAAGGACAGATATTTTCATTTTTCTCTCTCCCCTAGTATGTTTACTTGTGTCAAGGTTTACTTGTGTCAAGGTATCCCTATGTGAGTTTGCAAAAGAAAGAGTCAAAAAGAACAAATGCAGTATTTTTCTCTTTCGATTGGTCTTTGGTTTTGCAGCCTTCAAAAAATAAATCAAAGGAATTGCATGTTTTGGTTCTTCCTGTTTCATTGATGTAGAAGTTAAGTCATGGGGAAAAACAGAGTATTTTCAAGCATGCTTGAAACATTTATTAAAATAGATCATAAATTCGTTCACAAAGAAGCATTAATGAATTCCTGAAAATCAATAGAATACAAACTATGTACTCTATAATTATACAATAAAATTAGGAATTTTGACAAAAGGACAGAGTCCATAAATCCCATAAATTTGGAAACTAAATAAAACAATGCTTAAACCCTCAGGTTTAAAAAAAAAAGTCACACATGTATAACTAATAAAATATAGAAAGAAAGAAAAGAAAAACTTGATAGTAGAGAAACTTGGCAAACATCGCCTTAACCAAGTGATCAAGGTTAAACATCCCCAGCAATGAGTCATGGAAGTATGTACTCCAATACGATGTGACAAGAAGGGCATGTCTCCTTTGTGATATTCTCCTTCAAAATTCATAACCTCAGTCTTTTTGTAAGAAAACATCAGATAAACTCACACTGAGAGACATTCTATTAGGTTGGTGCAAAAGTAATTGTGGTTTTTGCTATTACAAAATATCTGACAAGTACTCTTCAAAAGTGTCAAGGTCATGAAAGACTGAGAAATAGTTACAGATTTAAGAAGACAAGGTGTGACAACTTGAGGAAGGAAAGGAGCAAGAGAGGGAGGATCAGAGGAGAAAGAAGGAGAAAACGAACGTCATAAAGGACTTGCCCATAGTCAGGGAGAAATGAAAACTTCTGGGCCTAAATTCCTAGTCCCCATTTTATCTTAGCTATTTTCTTGACATGCAGCATAGAATTTCGTATGGTCTCTGTTCCCTGGACCAACCCTCCCCAAAAAGAGATAAAATAAAACTTTGTCAAAAGAAGTACAGACATCTATCCCTGTAACTGTAAATCCTTAAAAAAAAAAAAAAAACCCCACTTGGAATATGCAAGTGTTGCCTCTTTTGGTGTAACTTTTGATTAAGATATGCTGTAGATAATATCATCTGCACTAATAAATTATTATTTTACTAAGTTATGAATTCCAATGATTCATTCAATTCTTTGCTAATTTTCATCTTAATTACTGTTTGTTGTAAAAATCCTGAGACTATTTACAAAAACCTTTTAAAAGAGCCAAATACATTATTATGCAGAGTATCATGTACTAATTTAATCCTCCAACAATTCTAGAAATTTGAAGCGTTACACCATAAGACTTTAGTGGTTGGTAATACTAGGACTATTATAATTTATGAATAATTGACAGCAACAAGTTTCTGCTGAGCATTGACTACATGCTATGGTCAGCTAGGGATAACCCACTGAAAGAGAGAGATGGTCTTAGTCTTCATGGAACTTAGAATCCAGTGGAGAAAACAAACTTAAACAAGGAAACAAAACAAAAGTAATAATTACAAGTTGCTATAAGTGCAATGAAGGAAAGGTGCTTTAATAAGATAAACTGGTTCGGGGGCTGGGAGATGGCAGCTGATTCTAATTCAGTCTTCAGAGAAAGCCTCTCTGAGGAGATGACCTTTCT